CAGCCACGTCAGCAGACACAGAGGCCGCCTCAGCAGCAGCAGCAGCAGAGGGGCAGGCAGCAGGCCCGCGTATACGCAGTTGATCAGGCCGAGGCAGCACAGCAGCCAGGTACTATGTCAGGGATGGTTGTTCTCAATGATATTCCTGTGTTTGCTTTATTCGATACTGGAGCGACACATACTTTCATTTCACGACGATGTCTCGATGCCATCGGAATTCACGTCATTATCGCTGTCGATCCTCTCGAGGTGAGTTTAGCCTCGGGACGAAAGATAGTGACTTCAGCTAAAGCCTCAAATCTTAGCCTTTCCATCGGTGGCCGAGTATTGACTGCCGACGCGTTTGTTCTCGAGATGAGGGACGTCGACCTTATTCTTGGAATGGATTGGCTATCCTTCTATCATGCAGACATCAGGTGTCATGACCGGGAGATCACTCTCTATCTTCCGGGAGACGAGTCGATTACTTTCTTCAGCTTCATGAATCGTTCACTGCCTCATGTTGTTTCGATGGCGAAAGCCACTAAGTTACTGCGACGAGGCAACTACCAGGGTTATCTAGTTAGCCTTGTCGATGATTCTCAGAAAGCGCGAACACCCCATGATGTTCCAATCATTCGCGAGTTTGTGGACGTGTTCCCAGACGAGCTTCTAGGAGGACCGCCTAACCGTCAGGTGGAGTTCTCTATTGATCTCATTCCAGGGGCCAGTCCAGTATCCAAAGCCCCGTATCGTATGACGCCTAAGGAGTTGCAGGAGCTTAAGACCCAGATTCAGGAGTTGTTACGACTCGGTTTTATCCAACCGAGTGTGTCACCATGGGGAGCACCCGTTCTCTTTGTTAAGAAGAAGGACGGATCCGTGCGCATGTGTATCGACTACCGGGATCTTAACCGGTTGACGATCAAGAACAAGTACCCGCTTCCCAGGATCGACGACTTATTTTATCAGTTGAGGGGAGCCTGTGTGTTCTCAAAGATTGATTTACGATCAGGCTACCACCAGCTGAAGATTAAGGAGTCAGATATCGCTAAGACCGCTTTCAGGACTCGTTACGGCCATTACGAGTTCGTTGTCATGCCTTTCGGTCTCAGCAATGCGCCAGCTGTTTTCATGGACCTCATGAATCGTATTTTCCATCCTTACCTCGATCAGTTCGGTATTGTCTTTATTGACGATATCCTTATTTACTCGAAGAGCCAGAAGGAGCACGAGGAGCATCTGAGGGTAGTTCTCGAAACCCTCAGACGAGAAAAGTTGTACGCCAAATTCTCCAAATGCGAGTTCTGGCTCCAGCGAGTATCCTTTCTGGGTCATGTGATTACTCAGGCAGGCATCGAGGTGGATCCTTCTAAGGTCTCAGCCGTTCAGAACTGGTCGACACCGAGGAGTCCGTCCGAGGTTCACAGTTTTCTCGGTCTAGCTGGTTACTATCGCAGGTTCATCGAGGGCTTTTCCATGATCGCCCTCCCTCTTTCCCAGCTGACGAGGAAGTCTGTGAAGTTCGAGTGGACTGATCGATGTGAGGCGAGCTTCCAGGAGCTCAAGAGGAGGTTAACTTCAGCACCGGTGTTGACTATTCCCGATCCTTC